TGGAAAGTCACTGGAATTACTGTTGAGCAAAGAAAATCACAATTATATGATTTTTTCAGATTTTCAGTATATACATTAAGAATTATGTACAAACTGAAATGTCTGTGTACTCATCCTCAAAACAACCAATAAAATCTCAATTATGAAAGAAAAAGAATTGGGACAAATGCCTAAGAAACAAGTCTCCGGCAGCTGCAAAATCCACATCACCTGAGTCCACGCTGTCCTCATCTGCGGGTAGAAGTATGAGTACCAGACAAAAGCTTTTGCTTTTGCTGTTATTTCCCCCAGAGTGTCCGGACTGCCCCTGGAAAGACTGAAATCTGACCAATTCCTTAAGGAAGATCTTAAATAGGCCTATCTCTCCCTCCACTCAGCACCGACGGTATTCACTAGTACGTTTACACCCTTTGTAGGGACAGGCGTTTCGGGCCAACCGAGAGGCGCTCTGGGAGGGCAGGGAAGAGGTTCTCTCACAGCTCGCAGCACCACACTGATCTCACAGTAAGCAAGTGAGATCTTTGTAAAGTGGCAGCAGACAGGATCCAATACCACTTCCGCAATAGTATCTCGAGCTACAACGTCCTTAACAAGTCCTCTCCAGACTTGCTAAAAATAAGAAAAGCCTGTTCTCCCTTGTTTTCCTTACTGTTGTCATTTTCTGTCGACTCCTTGAATGTCCCTCAGCATCACAACACAGCCACCAGCGGGCAGCCAAACAGAAGGGAAGGGGTGGGAAGAATGGCATGATGACGCTGGGCTGTTTTTAAAGAGACAAATCAATCCTACTGGGATAGAAAGGGCCAACATATAATCAACAACAGTGCTTATTAGATTATGAAACTTAAACATTCACCATTCAGTGGTCCAAAGAGCAAAGCTATGTCATAAACCCAGACGCACCCCCAATCCCTCCAAAACCAGACTTGGTCGTTACGTGGTATACAAGGAATGGGAGCCAATGTGCTTCCAGGTTAACAAGTCAGTGTTCCAGGGGCGTCAGAGAAATGAGTGGTGTGGGATCGCAATCACCATTCTGGATGTACTCAAGAAATACTTAGAGAATGCTTAAAGTGCCACGTGCTAGGAAGGAGTAGCCAAGAAAATGTTAGATAGAAATTCCTGCCCTCATGGGGCCTGTATGCTTATGGGGATTGGACTCCAGAATAGCATTCTTCTGTTTTCTGAAAGCTAGGAGAGGAGGGAAGGGGAGAGAAAGGCTAGGCAGGGTTCTGTACAAAGTGCAAAACTCACATTAGACACTCAGTAACTCCTTCATAAGAAGTGCGGTACGATCAACTGACAGGCTGCACAAAAGCAAAGAAGCAAGTATTTACCCAAGCAAATAGCAAGGACACGCCTTGTGATGCCCAGTTTCACTTCTAACAGTCAAGACTCCAAAAATGCCAGCTAATTCTAGTCTCTGGAAATCAGTGATCACAGTGATTTCTAGATTTCTGATACAGTAAGAGTGGTTGTAACTTTCCCTTCTTTGACCTTTTCAAATAGCAGGTGCAATAAATAATTTAGCCGGAAAAAAAAAAAAAGCTTTTGCTCTATCAGATTTCAACTGTTGGTCATACTTAGTACCAAGGTATACATCCCAAAGTCACCCATATGGCCAGCTCTGGAAAAGTATCTGAAACAAAAATGGAAGCATTAGCTTCAACTTTGAGCACGCAAGAAATGGTGACGGAGTAAGAATTTAATAATTTAATCCAATGTTTCTTAGAGAATTTGCATCATTAAACCACCCAATGCAGTATACTGACCACCTTAAAAATACCTCACAGGGTAACAAAATCTTGTACCTATATGAACGAAAAAAAATGCCACTGGGTCACATAGATCAACTCCCTCTTAATCACACAGTATCAAGTGTTCAAATTTACTAAACAGTTTTGTGCTGGAAAACCTCCATCCTTTTACTGAACATGCTGATGACTAACTTTCACCACCAATGAGAAGCAATACCAGAGCTAATAAAACCAACTATAAACTACTGTTGGACTCACTGAAAATAAAAATATTTTTAATTAATTATGTTATGACAACTTAAAAAAAAAACAAGAGCAGTCCCTAAAGAGGGTATTAACAGCTAGTGAGGTAACTGAGCAGAATTTTAAAGCTTTAGTAGATAATGAACAGAAATGACTGACTGGAAAGATGTCCCACAAATGGTGTCCCTCGAGCTTTACCATTCATTCTATAAGGAATGACTTCAGCAGACTAGGTACACGGGTTTTTAAGAGTGACTTCAGTAAATTCTAAAGTTAACTAACCCTACAAACTTCTAACATCTGTCCTTTAAAGAACTTCAAAGAGGGAGATGAATCGCCATTTATGTGACCACTGATATCGTGTGTATTACAAAGAAAGTTTCCAAAATCAAACCCGGAACCTTTGGAACCTGTAAAGGACAGGAACATGAGGCCTAATCCATCACTGAACTCAGTCTAACCACCTGAGGGGAAAACCACAGGGAAGAGGAAGAGAGCAGAGATGAGCTAACAGAACAGACTGATAGCCCCTCAATACTCTGCTTTGGGGAATTAAAACAGAAGATCTCCCATTGTTAATGACTGTTAAGATCCCCCCCAAACTAGGATACCGACACAAACCAAACAGAAAAGAGAGCATGTGACCAAGGTGGGAGGGGCAGTCCTTGCATGGACTGTGCATACCAGACACAAGCAGTTTGGGGTGAGCATTTGGATTTCCTGTTTTCAAAGGCATTCAAGACCAGAGAAAGATTTAAACGCAGAAACTGTAGGGACTAACAAATGACCAGAACCTGTAATGTAAACTAAACGCTATTCTTCCAAGTCATGCCCTGTGAGTGACGCTACCAATGCTGGAAACAGCGTTAACTGTTCACAGCTGCTGTCACAGAACACTGGACTCACTGTTCCAGACTCAATGAACTTGATTGCTTTCAAAACCCAAGGAACAAGGTAAGATCTGACAGCAACAGATAACTTCTCTAACCCTATTAATAACTTAATAAAATTAACACGCCTATCAGTAGAAGTGCAGAACAAAGGTAGTTTTCTCAGATACAAATGACGAACATTTGACTGTGATACTCCCTACAAAAAAAATTCACCAAGAAGATTCCTTAGCAGTCAAACGTCTTTTACCTGTAACATGAATCTGAGTCAACTGTTTACAGCTGCAGTTGCATTAAAGATGACCATCCCAGTTATGTTCACAAGTGTAAAACAAAGGTTATGGTGGAATGCCTCCTGGGAACCTCTAACACTTATGGGACAGACACGACTTCTCTTCATCCACCTGGCATCCCTGGGGACCACCAAGCCTGCCTTATCAAATGGTTCATATCCCCCTCATTAATGAAAAACAGAAAACTCTTAAGAAGTCCCAGGTATTTACTTGAGTTTCTCACTTAGAAACAGAGAAACCATCTATCCTAATAACATAAACAAAAGTAGGCTTTCTGGAACTAAAATTGTTTGTGAAACTAGATTTTACAATTACAGCCCTGTTTTCCAACATGTGACATGCCTACATATGTCCCTCATCCAAAGGCACTGAGAGCTAAGAGAGCACATTTAAAGTACCTTTCATTGTTTTCCTTATTCACTTGTCATTTTTGAATACTTACATTAAATTTTGCAATGCTTTTTTAATAGCGTCTATGAGATTGTAAAAACTACCTTTTACTTGTTTTCAGTAATAATACATTAGATTCTTTCAAGACTGTATAGCACCATAAGCAATTTCCCAACGTTTTCCACCTAAGCCTGCGCTGTCAGGAAATAATCCTTAGTACCCGCCCATCCTTCCAGCAATCTTCACACTGCTTATTGCCAAAACAAAAACAAGTGGGTAGTTTCAATGCAATCAAAGTTTAGTTTAATATTCCTCTGGCTGCAATTTTAGTTATCAACGGTGATCGTGACAGATTTTACAGATCGAAAAACAAAAGAAATGCCTTTATTTTGGCCCTAGTCTATATCATTCCGTGACTTTACCATGCATAATGTCTTTAAATGAGCTGGCGTCAAACATAACCTAGAAAACTAGAATACTTCGAAGAATGAAAAATCATATAGCTGTTCATTCCCTCCCCGTAGAAATGTTACCATGTTAAAATGTTTAATAAATTGCTTACAATTATTTAACATGAATAGGAAAATTTTCCCATATTCTCCAAACACAGCGAAGAAAACGAATACATGTAACTTAAGTTCAGCATCCACCTTAACAAAGAGAACGAAACAGTAATGAAGTGACACTAGAAGCCCAGGCACAAAATCATACACAGACACAAGAAGGCTACAGGTCCCACTCAGGAAAGAATGCACCAAACACATTCGAATTTATTTTCTTTTTTTTTTTTTAAGCAAATGACAAAGACCCAGTTTACCAGCTTTACTTTTTTAAACCTAAGCTTAACATTACATATTTAAACAATTGTCAAAACTTACTAAGTTGCCAGCATTCATGCACAACTAGAAAACATCCTCAATTTATATTAAACCAGAAATGTATTACTATTAATGCATTAATATCTTTCACTACTAAATACTGAAAAAAATGAAATTATTTTTGCGCAAGATTCATCCTGGTAATGTTAACTTCACAGCAGGCTGACACTACTTGGCTCACGTTTCAAACACAATGGAAAAGCAGGTCCGTGCTGGTGTTAGTGTACGAAAGAGTCACGGCCACCTTGGATTACGTTTAATAAAAAAGCAAAGTGCATACAGAGATTTACAACAATTTTAAAGACAAAAAAAATGGTCCTATTATGTGGTCCCAACAATAAACTCAAAAGTCTATGACAATTAGGGCTCCGATGAGCTGTGTATAAATACTTTAGATTAGGTACAGTTATAGTGAAAGTCGAGTTCGTTTGAAATCTTCAAAAAAATGTTCCTGTTAATCCTCAAATGGTGCTTGTTATGTTAACATTTCTGTTTGTTACATGCGTGCGTTGAATTACTTGTTATCCAAGCGCAGCAGCTGCTCCTTACCATTTATCGTTAGAGACTTTAACTGGCCGTCTTCTTCAACTTCTACTCTTTCTTGACCATTCTCGACAATTCTGGAGAATAAAAAGCATTTAAAAACCTTTTTTTTTAAAGTAAACATATGTGTGTATATATATATATATATACATATTCACCTATGTATACAGATGTATATGTAATACATATCCATTATACATATAATATGTATGTGAACATATATGCATATTTTAAAGGACATAACTGCCATATGTGAAATCACTAATTTTGAGGCTGAAAAACAGCTGAAGCCAACCTATTGATGATAAATCTTTCTTAAAAAGATTTATTCTAACAGATGGAAGTTTTGTCTCCAATACTATAAAGCTGAACACTAAATGCACGCACAGATGCTATTAATCAAAATGAGAAAGGTTTTACTGTTAACGATTTTCCATTTCACCGTTCTAACAGTTCTAGCAAAACTTATTACATATTATTACACATTAAAGATGACTCTAAATAAAGATTACTTCTAACATATAACACTAAGCATAAGTTTAAAAGGAAATGGTCTAATTCGGAGATGAAGTAAAAATTCTCATAGTGCCAGATGTAACATACAACCTGTACTTCACACTCTGGGGGTGTGCAAAGGAAACGTGGCACCAATGAAACATTATCCTGCTTATTAAAAATATGAAATATAGAAGACCACGGTACCTCTTTGTAGTGATTTTCCTGCCATTAACTGTTTTAGTAGAAGTTGATATGGATTTGAAGTTGCCCATCCCACTACCACCAAACGCCGTGGAAGAGAAGGAAGTGAGGCCCCCGTGACCTAGGGAACTAAAGGAAGTAAATCCTGTAGGAAAATAGGAAAGGAAGAAGATTAGAGACTAATATGTCCAGTATTCATTTAATGCAAAAAATTGCTGAGTTTCAAAATTTCGTAGTAGACATCTGATATAACTGTGTAACCAATGAGTAACTGAAAGACCATACAGAAATGGATCAAAAACACTGGAGAGCAATGCCTACGCAGCAGCACCACAGAACCACGGGGAAGGGGGAGAGCCACACTCTCCTCTGAACCCGTGGACATGTATTCCAGGAACTTCTAGAAGGAAGAACCAGCGCCCTCGTTCAAGTCATATCCTCCCTCCACACACACAGAGCGTGTTGTTGGACCTCACTGGCATTTCACCTATTCGTGGGTGATCAACTTGGCACCATGCATCACGGAGGGAGTGGGATGGCAACAGGCATCTTAATCTTGCAGAGCAACTGCACCACCACAGAATGTCAAACCCAACTAATGCTTACCTTCTCCTTGCAATGTGACCACAGGGGATAAAAATCTGAATTTTTAAAAAGCTAAAATAATTTTAGAATGAATACTACAAATTTGCTCTAAACTACAGGCAGCATTCTAAATTACATGGCAATCACACTACGGACATTAAAACACCCTGATTTCCACAAGTCACACTTTGATATTAAGAACTGGTTATTAAAAGCGCTTGTCTCACTTCCAAAACATTCACATTAAAACGAATACTCCAGGGGCCAGCCCCGTGGCTTAGCGGTTAAGTGCTCGCACTCCGCTGCTGGCGGCCCGGGGTTCGGATCCTGGGTTCGGATCCCGGGTGTGCACCGACGCACCGCTTCTCCGGCCATGCTGAGGCCGCGTCCCACATACAGCAACTAGAAGGATGTGCAACTATGAC